AGATAGATAGATTTGCATGTTCAAAATAAATTATAATTGAAATAACAACAGAAAAAAACAAAAAACAAAAAACAAAACTTAGAAATCATCAAGTTTTCATGTATATATTAGTCTGTGCTACAGATCAAATTCTTTGATTCTCACTCGCTTTTGCGCTTCATGCAGGACTGGAACGTCAGCGTTTTCAGCCGTGTGGACGCGGAGCGTTTTAAATCTATCCGGGTTCGTGTGGACGTAGCCTTCGTCTGTGCTCACACTTTGTTTCAACACTTCAAATTATGAAGCGTGTCTTCAGTGGGAGCCGCTCAGCGACAAACAGCCTTCATTTACTCACACTTAGAAACCAAACTGGAGGTGTGAGTGTCACAGCGATAACACTGTGCAGTGGGTGCTTTCCCACAAACGCTCTTATTGTGAAATCATTTGGTGATTGTTGTAAAGGCTCACCTTTCAGCACATCCACTTCACCAAATGCACCTTGTTTCTTTTCCTCACCTTTGATTGGTTGTGGTGCTTGGCCTTATTTGCACTCACCTACCCCTCACTCTTTCTTCACTCCCACACGGGGCAGCAGCTGAGCTGAGTGTCTCTTTGAGTCTCCTGAGTTCATATATCGTTTCGAGTTACTTAAATCACACTTTGTCCTCTTTAGAGATGGCAGTCCATGTGTGTCTTTCCTTCCTTTACCCATTGTTCAATAAAACAACAAAACCTGTAAATGATTGACTGCTTATTCTCATTCTAATTGGACGAGCCCATGATGATGACTACTTAAACCCTGAACCTTCCTTCCCCCAAAACAGTGATAATAATCTGATGTTTTTCCTTATTTGCTCATTTGAGGTTTTATTAAATAAAAAGTTTTAGTTAGTTTTAGCATCTGCAGGTTAGCAGCTCATCCAGCCTCCAACATGATCCAGTGAACGGAGGCAGCATCAGTTTAGTGCTGCTGACTGCAAACAGATGTTGTGACAGAGCATCTGATTAAAGATGTTTAGACAAATCTCTTC